CATTCATTTGAATGGGGCAAGATTTTCAAAATAAAGCTAAATATTTCAAAAGTATGAAGTTTAGAAAAATTCTGAACAAAAACATGAATGTCCCTGAAGAGCTGAACATTTTAATAGCTGAAATAGTTGAATGTATGCTGAAGTAGAAGTTTGCCATTCATTTGAATAGGGCAAGATTTTCAAAATAAAGCTAAATATTTCAAAAGTATGAAGTTTAGAAAAAATCTGTAGCGAAACATGAATGTCCTTGAAGAGCTGAACATTTTGATAGATGAAAGAAACCAGAATAATAATAAACACTAGCATAACATAGTATGGATGCTGACTCAGCATCCACACAATAATAATAATAATAATAATAAAGAATAGGATAAAAGAGTGTGGGTGCTTCGCATCCACACAACTCCGTCACTGTCTGCTTGTGTCATGAAAACCAGCTGACCACATAGCATTAGCCGAGACAGTTCAGCACACTCAGACACTGAGACATGAAAGGTTTTGTGCAGCTACGTCACTGTACAAAAAAAAGGAAACAAACAGACCAAAAAGTAAAGCCAGGGAGGCTGGTTTTGACTAAACAGTGAATTAAAGTGTGCGGGAGTTGTCGGAAAGAGAGGAGACTATCTTAAAGATGCATTACAGGCATTAATCAGGTTGTAAAAAAGATTTGCAGAGGGAAAGTGAAGTTGAAAGGTTTTTGCCCTGATGACCCCAAGACACTGCACGATCTGTTGTCTGTTTATCTCCACAGTGTATGGCCGGAACGGTTTATGGCTGGCTCCTTTTAAGTCTGGGGTGCCATCTAGTTGAACATATAACAACACACAAAGTACTAAAACAGAGATGGAACATGTCCAGTGTCTCACAGGTCCCTGTGATCTGTAGTCTGTTCTGAAAGGTTAAAATCCATTGAATAACATATGTTGGTTAATATATTGTTTAGAACACAGTTTAAAACATACTTAATAATGTAATTGTCATGACACTAGAAAATTGCATTTTTTTAAGAAAATGCATATGGATGCTGAGTGCTGAAAGATCGCCCTGAAAATGCTGAACATTTTGACACCTGAATAGGTTTGCTAGCTGAAAGTATGCTGAAGTAGAATTTTCACATTCATTTGAATAGGGCAAGATTTTCAAAATAAAACTAAATATTTTTAAAAGCATGGCGTTTAGAAAACTTCTGAATAGAAGCATGAATGTCCTTGAAGAGCTGAACATTTTGATAGCTGAAATTATGCTGAAGTAGAATTTTACCATTCATTTGAATGGGGCAAGATTTTCAAAATAAAGCTAAATATTTTAAAAGTATGAAGTTTAGAAAACTCCTGAATAGAAGCATGAATGTCCTTGAAGAGCTGAACCTTTTGATACCTGAAATTATGCTGAAGTTGAATTTTCCCATTCATTTGAATGGGGGAAGTTTTTCAAAATAAAGCTAAATATTTCAAAAGCATGACGGTTTAGAAAACTTCTGAAGAGAAGCATGAATGTCCTGAACATTTTGATAGCTGAAAGTATGCTGAAAAAATTAAGTGCCAAAAAATGGATGGAAGAAACCATAATAATAATAATAATAAAGACCGGGATAACATAGTATGGATGCTGACTCAGCATCTATACAATGAAATGTTCAAAGATCCTCTCATTATTAAGTGTGCATTCATAGTCTATAAGCTAACCCTTTGCAATTAAATGCGTTCATGCCTTTTACAGCTATCAGAAACTCTTCTCAGTAAAATATGTAATAAATTCAAAGCCAAGTCTAACAGCTTAAACTCAACATTAGCTTTCTAGCTAATGTTTGAACAGCCAATAAATTAGCTAACATACACATTC